GTGGGTTGAAATCAAAGGCCCCATTAATTATTTTATTCAATACTTTATTCGACAAATGTTTCCCAAGAGTCTACTATGTGCCAGCCATAGAGTAGTACCCAGCACTAAGGATACAGCAGTGAGCAATCTGCATTTGACCTCTGGTCATTCCTACATCTATTTGTTGCTGAAATAGTTAAAGTATTAATTTAATGGTCTGAATTGCTGATTATAGATGATGACAGGAAAGTAAAGGAACAAGGTGAAAAAAATATATCACACTTTCCTCTAATCTCCAACTTCGTCGGGGTCTACATAATGATAGTAGTAATAATAATTATAAAAATAGCAGCAGCCAACCATTTACTTAGCAGTTGCTGTGTGTCAGTCTTTGTTCTGAGTGCCTAATTTTTATTTCCTTATTTAATCAGAACAATCCTGTGAGGTCGGTAGTGTTATATCCATTTATGGGATACAAAAGTGAGGCAAAGACAGGCTAAGTAACCTCTCCAAGACTGTACCTTCCAGGCCCAAACTCTGGAATACGACTCTAAGTGCTCTGCTCTGGACCACTCCACTCCCCTAAATTATTCCTCCCTGCAGTGACAGTGAGTGTGACTCCTAGTCTGGATGGCTTGGAAAGTTAGTTTTCTGTGCCCTTCATGCCCGAGAAAGGGCAGTTTGCCCATTTAATGTAATTGCTTTCCATTTAAAAAATAATTTTATTATTTTTTTCATTGAGGAATAAAAATTGTATGTATTTAGGTGTACAACATGTTTTGAAACATGTATACATTGTGGGATGGCTAAATCAAGCTAATCAACATGCATTACCTAACATACTCAATTTTGTGATGAGAACGCTTAAAATCTACTGTCGTAGACATGTCAAGTATACAACACATTGTTTTCAACTATAGTCACCATGTTATGCAGTAGATCTCTTGAATTTATTTCTCCTGTCTAACTGAACCGTTGTGTCCTTTCACCAAATGTCTCTCCATCTCCTCCAGCCTCTAATAACCTCCACTCTACCATTTTTGACTAGACGTAAGAAGGAGCTGGTAAGACAGCCCCAATTTTTCTCTTTCATTTTCACTCACATGTTTTATGCTTTCTGCACAGTGAGGTCCCTCACGGCTCTGAAGGTAGATTTGGAAGCATGTTGAATGGTTCCCTTCAAGTTAGAGATGACAACATCAACCTGGATGTGTCATTTGAGACTGATGTGTGTGCTTTAGGTAATAAAGGATTTGTATTTGAAAGACATCACTCAGCCGAAAGTGACGGGGGCCCCTCCATCAGTGCCAGTCAGAGCGGTTTCATATTTTAGGGACGCCAAAGGCAAATAAGGGACTAGAGAAAAAGAAAATGCGGATAATTTAGAGCCTTCTGTTACTCTGTTTAGGAGTAGGTTGACTAGTAAGAATTTCATTCTAAGGATGTTAAAGATTTTGAAAATGTAAGAAATACTTCCACTCAGACAAAACTCTAAGTCACTTTGAAGAAAATAAATAGGGATTCTGATGATTGATTCCCATTATATTAAAAAAGAGTAAAATAAACATAATTTTGATGTTACTCAGTAGCAAATTTTCTTTTGGATGCAGATTAAGGAGACCTGGATGCACCTGGGTGGGGGATTTTTCTGAGGGTTACGTGTGATCATAAGGGGTCCACATAGCAGGATGGGATTTGGAGATCTTAAAATTATGGCCATGATTAACGATCTACTTTTATCTCTCCATTTTCCCCTCACTTCTGCTCACCCTCTCCTCAAAGATTCATTATATCTTGTTTAGGATCATATTTTTATTTCTCTTTCCACATGGATAACATCAATTAAAAAGGCTCATTGCCTTTTCTCGTGCCTTGTTAATTTCCAATTTCTTTCCTGCATTCTTTGGGTTACTTTTTTCTTTGTGATAATCCTATATGTATACTCCCCTCCACTCCCATCACAAACACACACACTGTAGGTTAATGTAATATTTAATTGCTTATATGCAAGGTTAACTGAAATGCGTTGATTTATATAGTAAAGAAAACTTTAACAGGTTAAGCAGCTGAACTTAAGGAACTATTTATACGCCACACTTTAAATGTGGTCTGATTAGAAAGCAGTGCATGAAATATAGTCTTTAAAACGTGTAGATAAGTTTTAAATTTTCTAATTTAATTTTATTTGAATAGCTAAGACAATTACAGTTTTCAGCAACCATATGATTATAAAAAGTTATAACTGAAAAGTCTCATTCCCACTCCTCTTCTAGACCTCACCCCCACCCCTGCCTCCTACAGGTACTTATTAGTTTTTTTGTGCGATTTCCCAGGGTGTCTTAATGCTAAAATAAACAAACGAGGATATACTCGTATAATTCTTATACGAAGTTAATGTAGTAAATATCACTAAATACATATTGATCTGCACTTGCTTTCTTCACTTAACAATATTTGCTGGAGGCCTTTTCACATTAGTGCATCAAAAGCTTCCACATTTGAGGGCAGGGAGAGCACAGTATTCTAATGTGTAGACACACCAGAGTGTAGTTAATTATCCCCTAATTGATGGACTTTGGGGTTGTTTCCAGTCTTTTGCCATAAAACAATGCCACAATTATCTATATACTCTGTATATATATCATCTCATCCATGTTCAGATAGAGCTGTCAGAAGAATTTCCCAAAAGTGGGATATCTGGGTCAAAAGGAAATGCATTTGTAGTTTGAATGATAGTTCCAACTTGCCCTTCGCAAGAGTTGTACCAGTTTTTACTCTCATCAGTAATACACAAGAATGCTTCTTTCCCCACACTCTTGCCAACAGAATGCGTTTTGAAACTTTTGGAGTTTGGTCAACTGCATGGGTGTAAAAATTAGTATCTTTGTATAGTTTACTTTGCATTTTTTCACATTATGAATGAAGTTAATTTTTTCTTATGTTTAAAGACCATTATACTTCTTTTACTGCAAATGGTCTTTTCATGTCCTTTGATTATTTTTCTACAAAGGTTTTTTTTTTTTTCCCTTTCTGGATTTCTAGCCATCATCTGTGATATAAATTGCAAATATATCTGTCCAGTTAGTTATTCATCTTTTGTCTTTATTTCATTAGATTTTATTTCATTTCATTTTCTTCGTCCCCTTTTATGAGACAAAATTTAAAGTACAAGGCAGCCCTTGCTTTGGGTAGGATTGTGGAACTGTAAAAATGGCCATGCAAGCTGAAACTACGTAAAGCAATCTTAAATCACAGTTGTTTCACAACTTTTAAAATTTTTTGTCGCGACGTTAAAAACTTACTGTCATTTATAAATGTATATGGAAATGAAAAAATAAGAAAACTAATATGTATTTAGTCCACTGTAACACTAAGATCATTGAGAAGTAAAGTGTTTTATTTCTTAAAATCTTTTCAAGAGTAGTTTTATTGGTGCTTGCTGCCTTCTTCTTGTATACTTTACAAAACACAGCAAGCATCTTTTTTATTACGCCGTGGTGAATTGTCATACTCCTTCTAAGTCTGGATCAGCTGCCAGAATTTTACCCTTCGTTTTTTCAATGTTGTGAAAAAACACAAAGAGTTCCTTAAATGTGAATTTTTTGCCAGTATCGCTTCCTCTGTCGTCTAATCCCTCATCACCCCTTTCGACACAACTGCATAAACATAAAGAGGAAATTCTTCATGTTCGCCTTCGCTCTGGCTGCATTTGCCTCTCAAATGGCAGCAGTGTCAACATTCCCACAATCATCTATTTCTTTATAACTCCATTTGGAGTCAATTCAGATTTCACTTTCAGTGTTATCCTTTTTTTTTTTTTTTTCTTTTCCTGTCCCTGTACTTCTATCTTTGTTGGTGAATTCCCTCTTTCAGTTATCAACTTTTATAAAACATCACATGGATTTGTCACAAGGAGACAAGGAGACACCTCAGCTGCATGCTTCGTTGCCTACACATGAACTGAACAGCAAATGCACAGTGACCAGTCACCAAGAGACTTTGGACTAGTGATGTGATTGGTCACTGATCATGATGCACATCAGCTATTTACGTAGCAATTTCTAAGAGCTAAAACCTTGCTCGGTTTCTTCTTCATGGCATTAGTCGCAGTTAATACACTGGGGTAACTGTAGTATGGTACTATGGAATTTAAACCGTGTTACTGGGGGACTGATGTTCTTTATAAATTGTTTATAAAGAACACAAGCCACACAAGGCAGGGGTTGCCTGTATAGAAAATTACAAAGAATAACATAACAAACATCGGCATGCTCATCTCCAAGATTGGACAGTTATTAGCATTCTGTTATGTATACTTTAAGTGTTTTTAATGAAGGAAATAAATCCTTACAAGTAAGGTTAAACTTCTCCTTTGCCCCCAATTCCCATCCCATTCCCTTTCTAAACCTCCAAACTCACATATCATCATGAATTTTAAAGACTATCCTTCATTTTCTCTCCCTCTTTTTTAACATTAATATCTTTATATATAAAAGTTTCAATAAGAAATATGTACTGTTTGGGTGTGTGCTTTTTAATTTGCACCATAATTTGTACTTTCTGTTTCTGTTGCATTTCTTTGCTTCTTGTAGTCTTAGTTCCTTCTTGAATTAACAAAAATATTTTTTGTATCTCCTTCTCCCCACACCCCCCCACCCTGGTTTAGAAGTCATGTTTTTTACTTTATCCTATTTCTGTTGAATTAGCAAAATAGTCTATATTTTTAAAAAAATTAAAAATCATGCATAGATGAATCATGGAGTGATAACCTGCTCTGTCCGTGGAAACAGCCAAAGCCTATTAGAAGTCATGTTTTTTACTTTATCCTATTTCTGTTGAATTAGCAAAATAGTCTATATTTTAAAAAAAATTAAAAATCATGCATAGATGAATCATGGAGTGATAACCTGCTCTGTCCGTGGAAACAGCCAAAGCCTGGAAATACCATGTGTGCTGTGTTGTATTTATATAACCATTTTTCTGATATATTTAACAACCTTTTTACTCTGTTTGTCTTCCAGATTTATTCAGGAGATTGAGCATGCTCTGGGACTTGGCCCAGCCAAACAGTGTCCTCTTCGAGAGTTTCTCACCATGTACATCAAAAACATCTTCCTTAATCAGGTCTTGGCTGAGATCAACAAGGAGATTGAAGGAGTCACCAAAACATCTGACCCCTTGAAGATCCTCGCTAATGCAGACACTATGAAGGTGCTGGGGGTACAGCGGCCTCTCCTACAGGTAATAACACACTTTGAACTTACTATTTTCATAAGCAATTTTTATTGACTTGGCAAGAGTCATAAATTAAAAAAGAATTACCATCTGTTTCCCTGGTCATCAGGGAGAAAACAAGAGGAAATAAATTAAACAGGCACTAGGGAAATTTAGCTCTAATGTAGTTGGATAATTAAAGTTCCTTAAGATCTTTAAGAAAAAATGGTTAGCTTTGGATTTGGGAGATGGTGAGTCTCATTAACATGCAGGCAACAGCCCATTATTTGCCTGGAATTTGTCCTTGAAAGAACTTATTTTTCCATTGATGAATGCATCCCAGAGTATGAAGGATTAACAGGAAGAAAGTTACTGTGCCTAACCTTAATTACGAGGAGGGAACTTCCCTCTCTACCATTTGAGGGCAGACTTCCTATAAATAACTGCTAGCTCACAGTGAATTTGAACCAGTCAGCTGGCTTTTAAAAGTCAGACCATTTAAATTCAAGTGATCATGTTGTTAATACTGAAAATTATACTTTGATTATATCAAGAAATGGATTCTGGATAACAGAAAAAATATTGTGTCAGTAGATATTTTGGATTGATTGGTTTAAGGTTTATATTTTATATGCATTTTTGCTAGTCACTTAGAGGTAAATGAAAAACTAAAAGGAAATTTGTGACTTTATATTATGGGTGTACATTAACTATTATTACATTGTAATTGAATCTTAATAGTATCTCTTCATTTAACAGAATGGTGGACATAGTGGCACATTTTTACATCAGTTGCACGATGTGAGGATATTCGAAGTGTGGAAGGCTTTGAGCTGTCCAGAAGTTGTGTAAATGGAGCAGAGTTGGACTTGCTTTACCTGCCTGTTTTTACTTGCCTTTACAGACATCCTCCTCAGTTTTCCTTCTTTATGTGGAAATTCTTGTATGATTTTGAAAAAATACAATAGAGGCGTCACACGTAGGAAGACGTTCATTCGTATTGCCCGGGTCCGTGCTAGCTGTGCTCCTGGTGAGGGATCCTTAGTGAGAACAGGGTCAGAGGAGGGGACGGGCGAAGGCATGCACACACCCTCCCTTCTGCTCGATTCCTCTTTCCCTGGCTCTTTGCGCAGCTGGGACCTTCTCCTCTCTGTGTCTCACTTCAAATGTCACCTCCACTGGGAGGCTTTTCCTGACCATCCTACCTAAGAAGTTTCCCTTTCCTGGTTATTCTTCATCCTCCCCTACCCCCCTCACCCCACGTCCATTATCAGCACTGAGGCCAAACCCTATGGACTGTGTCACTGGGGCTCCCTTGACAGGTGGCTTCTGGTCAGGTTCTGCCAATAGGAAGAAGCCCTAACAGGACATTGGAGGGTGAAAGGAGAAAGAGGTTGGATTATTTCTTCTCCCCTTCCTCTCCACTTTGGATCGTGGTCCTGACCGTGGGCGCATCCCTCCATAACCAGAAGTCCTGCCAGATGACACTTCCTCCGTAGCTCCAGCTCTCACTGGGCTTGGGTGACACCATTTCTTCTCTGTGCTCCTTGATTTGGGCTCTCTGCTGTTATTACTCTCTGGGTGCCTCCACATCCCTTGTTGCTTCTTTCAACTGGGCCTATACCTCTGTAAGTTCTCCCTTCATTCCTATTTCTTCATCTGAATTGTCTGAGGGGAATACTCCTTGTTGTCAGGATCCCAAATAGATCTCCCCACTTAATCAATATTTTAACACTTTGGGGTTTTTTCCTTTCTTAACACTTACTACAATTGTAGTTATTAGTTAATTTTGCTAACTTGTTTATTTTCTGTCTTTTCCCCTAGAAGGAAAGTTCCAAAAGCACAGTATAGTGCCAGGTAGCAGGAAGGTGCTCAATAAATAATTTATTGAATGATGGATGGATGTAGCAACAGATGGACACAGTGAATAAGTTTTGAGAGTTATAAATACCTGTAAAATCAGAATGGGAAGATGAGAAATAGAAAGTGACAAAAACTTATTTACTTTTATGTTTTGTCTGACCATATCATTAGCCTCATTTCCATCAGCAAACCTTTCAATATTTATTTCTCTGAAGTGTCATGCTATATGCTGCACAGAGCAATTTTAACATGGTCAGTGTATTGAATTTAAAATGGAAAAAAAAAAGGCAACAGTGCACTGCAGAGTGAATCTGTGATCTAGAGATGCTGGCTTATTAAACATAATAATTTTCAGCTTAAATAGCAAAGACACACCAAAAGTCATAACTGGTTGACTACAGTCTGGGCCATGTCAAGGCCGGACACTGCCAGCTAAATGATATCATCACTGCCAACCTCATCACCAGTCATGTTGTGCATGTCACCGTGCCTCTGGTCCTGGAAGTTCATTCCTCCATTCTGAGGCTAAGAATTCCAACTTTAGCTGCTCTCTCTTTGACCTTATCAAGATATGATAATTATATGGACCTCATCACCAGTCATGTTGTGCATGTCACCGTGCCTCTGGTCCTGGAAGTTCATTCCTCCGTTCTGAGGCTAAGAATTCCAACTTTAGCTGCTCTCTCTTTGACCTTATCAAGATATGATAATTATATGGGAGTAAATCTTGAAACTAAGGCTATTCAAGCTATTAACCTCCAAATTTGTTTTCAGAGCTAAAATGCCTGTTTTATTATTTGGTTATTTTGTTGCCCTCTCTTCATAAAATTTTTATTTTATGAAAACAAAAATTTCTTAGACCGTATCAATAAATTTGTTTAATATTCTCAGAATTACAAGATTAAAGAAGCAAATGAGGAGATGGTTATTTTCCTTTCCCATCTTGAGAAATTATCTTGCTTTATAATGACTGTAAATTGTGTTCTAATATAGTTTTCCCATGCTCAAGTTTCAATGTTTCCTAAACGTGCTTCTATGTCTTTTTAATATTTTTATTCCCAGCTAATTGTAGTTAGCTAATCTGAAGAAAAAGTAGGAAATAATTCTCAAAAATTTTAGCTGAGAATTCGAAACAAATATTAAGAAGAGAGCTTGGGAATGTGCAAAAAATTCATGTGAGTTAAGTATTCAATTACATGAAGTATAAAAATGTCCTTTAAAGTTATTCCCTCCACTGGATTGTTGTTTGGTCACAGTCCAAAGAGTGAACGTGCCTTTCCCTGGAAGCAGCACCCAGTGTCACACAGCATCAGCCTGGCCCGGTTCTCCAGGGCCAGTGGAAGGACAGCTGTCTTAGTGCTGCTTTCATTTGCTCGATGATGGGCAGGCACAGTGCCTGGGAACCCTGTGAAGATAACCTCGGGACACTTTGTGCTCGCCTCTCTGAAATGGCATCTGGGCAGTACAGACACTTGGCTTACGAGGGGCATTTCTGTGGATGCTAACATGGCCCAAAGTGCTACAGCAGAATACTGCTAGTAGTAATAACAGAAGTAATAATAGTAATGAGAGCAGTTTTAACAGTAGATAGTAGTGATAGCAGCGAAAACGTTAGTAGCATTTGCTATAAGCCAGAGACTATTTTGAGTGCTTTTTATATGTATTGACTCCTAAGTGCTTTAAATGTATGGCGGCAGCTCTGTGAGGGTGATATTCTCGTTATGGTGAGGAAACTGAGAAACAATGAGATCAAAGAACTTATCTGCAGTCACACAGCTAGCAAAGAGTGGAGCTGTAATTCACACCCAGACAACATAACCCTGGAGTCCGTGCTCTAAACCACTTCTGCTCACGTTGTAGTCTGTGGATTATGCTTGTCAGTACACTATGTGTTACTAATCTGCTGTGAGATGTAGAGAATTTGAGAGTGAGCATTTAGACACTTTTATTATTTTTCCAGCAATTTGACATCATCTGTCAAATCTAATAATAAAAAATTGGGACTTGAGTTTTGTATGTAGCTGTGGGTTTTTAAATTTCTCTTTTCTTGTAATTCATTTTTATTGTATTTTATAAAAATATCAATCTGGGTTGTCACCATAGTTAGAGAAGCATTGCCCTAAATTCCTTACCCCCCTGTACTGCCTCACATAGAGGTAAAGCATAGAACCATCTCTTTTGCCTCAGCACCTCAAGCACATTACAACAGACAGAAGAGCTCGAATGTTTGTTGCAGTTGATTATCTCCTAAATTCCCAGCTCCTACAACAGTGTCTGCCATAGAGCAGGCTCTCAATATTTAATTAATGGATGACTGAAGGAGTGGATGATAGTGAATGAATTAATGATGGCTTCCCTAGTGCAAGGATGTGTGTGGACACGTTTTCCACCCACGGTATAAGATTTACAATCTTGGGTTTAAGATTTTGGTGATGATTAAATTAAAATGTCAGAGTTCTCCTGCCTCTGATGCCCTCAGTATGAAGGCGGGATTGGATACTTCATGGTATTAACATCTGAGATCTCTCTACTGCCATTACTTTTTCCGCAAAATGTCTTCCACCCATTGTAAGGCAAAGCATGCCCATTCAAAATAAGGAAATCTCTGGGGCCGGCCCGGTGGCGCACTGCTACAGTGTGCCGCTTGGGAGCGTGGCGGCGCTCCCGCCGAGGGTTCGGATCCCACATACAGACTGGCCTGCTCACTGGCTGAGCGAGGTGCGGACGCAGCACCGAGGGTTGCGATCCCGTTGCCGGTCCCGGTCCGGTACGGGCGCGACACTGAGGGTTGCGATCCGTTGCCGGTCACGAAAAAAGACAAAAAGGAAAAAAAAAATAAGGAAATCTCTGAAGAGAAATTCCTCATTTTTTCTGGGTCAGATTCTGTACATGGAATTTTGGGTCATCATGTCTGGCATTCTGGATGTGGAGTGTTGGAAACAAATGATTGAACTGGATACTTTTCATGCCTTCTGTGTCTCCCAGAGTCTACAAATTATTCATTCCTTAGACATGAGAAAACAGATTACACTGATTCACTCCAGTTTCCTAGTTCATCATTCATTTGGGGATGTCATTTAATTTATTTCTCTTTGGTGTCTCCATCTTAAAAAAGAATGAGGGGGGGGCCGGCCCGGTGGCGCACTGCTATGGTGCGCCGCTTG